TCCCCTATTCCCTAGCACGTAGAATTTGTACAATAGTGACTGATAAACATCTCCGAAAAATCCGCTTAGAAGAACTACATAAAACTCTCAAGAAACGAGGCTACCCCACAACACTAATAAACAAAAGGTATTGAACTCATGAAAGAAATTCCTCTAGACCAACTTAGAAATAAAAAGAAACGTAACGTCGAACAAACTCTAGCATATGTCTCAACGTACAACAAAACAACCCAGAAATATTCCCAGAAATCACAAAAAATCTAGATTTACTTAGCAAGAATAATAAACTGAATAATATACTAAAAACAACCAAAATAATTAAGAGCAAACGCCAATCTAGAAACCTAAAACACATATTAACCTCATCTAAATTTAGTCAACACAAAATACAGGGAGTCACAAAATGCACAAAAAAGATGTGGAGTTTGTGACATCATTATAGAAGGAAACTCCTACACTTTTTGAAAACCAAAAAAACATTCACAATAAACAAAAACTTAAACTGCAACTCCAAAAATGTAGTTTATGCACTTAAATGCACAAAATGTAAGAAGTCATATATAGGCATCAGCCAACAACTGAACAACAGGGTCTCCCTACACAAAAGCAATATAAAATTGACAGACAACAGAAAACTTTTTGTATCACAACACATTTTCAAATGTAACCAGGGTAAGTTTAATATCATGCCGATATATCAAACAGACAATTACTCGTATCTACAAATACAGGAAAAAAACTTTATAGACAAATTCAAACCCGAACTGAATTGATCGTAACCCCCCAAAAAAAAAAAAAAAAACATGCACACAGGGTGACCAAATACAATGATCGCTCACATACATGGACGCACACTCATATACGGGAGACACGAGGAGAGATATATATATGTGTATGTACACATACATACATTTATGTATGTATATGCGGATGTTGACAACTTAAGAAGTACGTGTGTGTGTGTGTGTGTGCGTGTGTATGTATGTGTGTGTGTGTGTGTGTGTGTGTACTGGTTCCATGTAGCTTGGGAAATATGTGTGTATATGTGTGTGTGTACTGACTACTTGTGGTGGGATAGTGTGTATGTGCGTATGTGTGTGTATGCGTGTATAAGTACAAATAAGTTTACGAATTCCTCGTAGTAAGGAAATATACGCACGCATATATACACGCATGCTGACAGGAACACGCCAAAATAGAAACAGATCCAAGAGCACATAGAGGTCACTAAAACATTAAAAGATTAAATGCCGATAACTACTCGCTGGACAAACCTTAATTGTTTTATGACCCTTCACGCAGAACTCTTCATTGACAATTCTAGAAAGAAAATTCGGATTGCCAACACACAAACAGAATGTCTCATATCGAGAATATTCCACATTGAACATGAAGAAAAATTAATTATTTTTAATAATATGTAAAATCTCCACTTTCACCTGAAGACGGTTGCGAGACCAGACCAGAAACACGTGTGTGAAATTATGTAAAACAAAGTATAATATTTTTTCTCAATAAATCCACATTACAACCAAAAACGTTTGCGGCACCCCTCTTCTTTTTAATATACATACTTTTCTCTCGTTGGAACCACTACAACATATTTCCTTTATATATATATATATATATATATATATATATAGAGAGAGAGAGAGAGAGAGAGAGATACTCCTCAAAATCTATATTGTCTTATCTCTTTTCTTCACTTTTCTCCTTGTCTTCTTTCCTTTTCCTGTAAATAGGCCATATGTCTGGCACCGTACCCTACCACCCTCACACTTAAGTATATTCCTATCTCTCCCTCTAATTTCGATCATATCTGTCGTCCTCCTCATCCCCCTCTAGCACCTTACATCAACTTAAAACTACCCGTCAAAAACTTGTATAAAAATAATCTCTATCTATAAAAGGCAGGATGTGTGTGTGTGTGTGTGTGTGTGTGTGTGTGTGTGTGTGTAACGAATGCACGGCCGCAATTTTCGACGGATTTGCACCAAAATTTACATGCATATGCTCCAAGTTAGCGGGAAGGCCAAGACCGACCTTGCATTTCCCAACTCCCATCGATAGTGGAAATAATCGATTTTTTCATGCTTCTACGACACTTTTCATGTGGTTTGCGCCATTTTGTACTGGCCAGAGTGAGAGCCTATATAGCTGGCTGCCACAAATAGGCAGGAAGATTCTATTGGCCAGTGTGAGAGCTAACAGCTGACTGGCACAAATGTTAACTAGCATGCTAGCATGCAAAATAATCGATAGCTGCATTCGTCACAAGTGGGAAAAATTTAAATCTGCATGACACTTTACCCCAATTGGCTCATTCGCTTGCTTAAACTCAACGTTGATTCTGATTCCGCAGAACTGGGTTCGGTGTGAAAAAGTATTTGTTGTTAACGTTCTTTTTTCATTTGGTTTTTCCAGTTACGAGTCCTTTTTTAAAGCTGATCGTTTTGTGTTCATTTTGTTTAGTTCTTTTTTCGTAACAGATTTGATGTTTAGTATAGAGCTTAGAAAAAATTTGCAGTGTGAGAAGTAAGGCATGTAGCAACATCAGCACGGCAAAGGGCACTCCTTTAAAGGCAAGGAAAGGCAAAAATATTTTAAGTCAAGTGATAGCGATTGCTGTATGAGTCGTACGATTTTTGAATCAAGCACGGGCAACGCCAGGCCTTGCTGCTAGTAGTATTTAAATTTTTTAAAACGATTTTCTTTTATGCATGGAGATATGATCTGAGGAACCATGAAAAAATCCGTTTCCTAGGGAAATAAAATGCAATCAATGGACCCTTAAGTTTGTCTGTTTTTTAAATTAACTTATATATCAATATATATATATATATATATATATATATATATATATATATATATATACCCAAATGTAAAAGAACGAAAAGTAAGATTTCAGCGTTCACAACATTAATTTTAAACAGGGCTCAATACAAAATTTAAGCAATAAATATTTATTATGCAGTGTTACATTAGAACATGCATATACCCACTACAAAACTGTACATCTTGTGTCAACGTTAAAATTTTTCTAACGTTTCATCAGGCGGAAAATCATGATGCCACTAAAATATTTTATTCCGAAATACAGTTAACGAAGCACATCTTCCACTTCCGTCATTGGAAAGTTTCCCATACAAGGTAAAAAGAATTTACATGTGCAGAAAGAAAAGAAGCTAAGTGATTAGTAACAGCGAGAGGGAGAAGAGAAATAAGAATAAAAAGGCCAAAAAAAGGAAATAAAGGTTGAAAAAAGGGGTGGGTGGAGGTGAGATAAACTAAAAAGGGACAAATTCAACCAATGAAATTCCATCGAATCATAGAATTCGAATTTTAACGGTTAACATAATCGGGGTTAGGTTAATGTTTCTAAGACAAAAACTTCCTGTGCTCGGAGACAATTATTCATGAAAGGGTACTACAGTATTTTATGAAACGGACTTTCTAATATAGATTAGAATTAGAGTCAATCCTTCAAATCTACAAATCAACCCTTCGTCCTTGCTTAGTGGAAATAATCGATTTTTTTCATGCTTCTTTGCCCTTGCATATATTGCTGCCATATATGGTCTAGAGCCCCTTCTGTTTGTCTCAAGGTCCCTGATAAAATCCAGAGACGGATATGCAATGTAATTGACCCTGATCAGGCATCTCGTCTACAGTCGCTCTCTCACAGACGTGACGTTGCCTCCCTCTTTCTTTTTTACAAATATTTTCACGGCAACTGCTCCGATGAGCTGCTTTCGCTGGTTCCCAGACTTCATGAATTTAAGCGTTCAACTAGGCTGGCATCACGCTCACAGCCCTTTCACTGTCGAAACTGTTAACTGTAGCCGTCTCTTCTACTCCAATAGCTTCATGTCTCGCACTTCTCACCTGTGGAACTACATCCCCTTTTCCTGTTTTTCTGATAGCTATAATCTCCAACTATTCAAATGTAACGTCAATCGACGTCTCTAGATGCCCTGATCTATCCCCTATCCTTCTCTTCATCCTTTCCTCTATCACTTTTATTTGCTCCCTCTCCAATTCTCTGTAACCCCTTGCGTACTAGTGGCTTCCCGCCTGGCTTGGGGTGAAACACTTAAAAAAAATATTAAACCGATTTTAAATCTTTATATTGTCATATTAATTATACTTAATCAAATTTTACATTACAATATGAATTAGAATACTACATTCATTTTAAACTTTCGGATATTTTTTTATCATAAAGCGTTATTAAAGAGAAAAATAATTCAAGTCATATAACGAATAAATTTAAAAAATTATAAATAGGTAGTGAAATCAAGATAGAAATAAAGGTAAAATAACATTAAAATTAATATTAAAAAAAATTTAACGTTGAAAGAAGATATACAGTTTTGTAGTGGGTATATGCATGTTCTAATGTAACACTGCATAATATATATATATATATATATATATATATATATATATATATATATATATATATATATATATATATATGATAAAAATAGAGTTTTTCGATATGCTATATTTATGGGATAATGTTCTTATCTATAGCAAAATTATGGAAAATAAATCATAATATATTTTTTAAAAAACATCCACATTACAACAAAAAACGTTTGCGGTTTCTCTCTTCTTTTTATTATATATATATATATATGGTGGGGAGAGACAGGGATAAACAAACACAGACAGATAAATCGATAGAATCTTTTTAATTACTGTTCTTTACGTTTCGGGTCCGAAACTGAATGTGGCAGATATTCGTTGACATCCCAACGAGAAATATGTAGTTCAGACATTGCTCTATCAGCGTGTTTGCCGCAATAGAAACGGTTTACCTGATTAAAAAAAAAAAAAAAGAAGGGTGATACAGGATTGTCTTCTGTCGGAGGCAAAATCTTTCTTTAGTAAGACCCTCTCAATATAACCCGGTTGTTATTAATGTCAGTTTAGAGAAAATAAAAAACATCAGGCATAGCAACTCAAATACGTGTACACATTAAAAATAACGAAGTTTATAACGAAAGATAGATAGATAGATAGATAGATAATGAACAGACTGTATATAGATAAAAAGACAGATACAGACTGAAATAGATAGATAGATAGATAGATAGATAGATAACAGGCTGTAGATAGATAGAAAGACAGATAGATACAGACTGAGATAGATAGATAGATAGATAGATAGATAGATAGATAGATAGATAGATAGATAGATAGATAGATATGAGCAGACTACGGTAGATAGATATGAACAGGCTGTAGATAGATAGATAGATAGATAGATAGATAGATAGATAGATAGATAGATATTCACGATGATCTGTAGTTCCCTTTGATAATAAGGACTATAGTCAGAATCGTTAATGCTGATGTGGACACTCGAAAAAACATGCAGACGTATGCACGTTTAGCCGGAAGGCATCTTGTTTTTCTTCTATCCTATTCACCCAAGAATGCGACATGTGCGGCTCGTCTTCGCTGCTTAAAAATATCTTCTATGTTTGCTTTCTGTTTGAGTTGAGAAACTCAGTTTAGACAGAATACAAGCGTTTCAGGCGCTTTTTTCCAATGATGAGTCCGACAATACTCTATATCGAGTCAGGTGTCGTGGAAAAAAGATTTTCGTTTCCATTGCCAGATAGATAGATAGATAGATAGATAGATATGAGCAGACTACGGTAGATAGATATGAACAGGCTGTAGATAGATAGATAGATAGATAGATAGATAGATAGATAGATAGATAGATAGATATGAACAGACTACGGTAGATAGATATGAACAGGCTGTAGATAGATAGATAGATAGATAGATAGATAGATAGAAAAGGAACGGAATTAGATAGTAGATAGAGGAAAAGAAAGAAGGAAAGAGAAAAAGAAAGTGAGAGATAGGAAATGCTCAGTGACGAACAGAGTGGGATAAATGCTAACATGGATAGATAGATAAATCAGAGCCAAGTCATATACATATATATATATATATAACACCTATTTTCATATATAAGTACATATTTATTTATTTATGCATATATACATAAATATATATTGTATATTTTATGAAATGGATTAAATTCGAAAATTATTTAAATATTTTCTGTTAATACGTTATTCTTATAGATATAATTTATTTCAATAACTGCCCTTTTTTATTTAATTAAATAATATTAATTACATTTACCGGCCTGAGATATTTCGTAGAAAATATGCGCTCTTCGACAGGAATCGAACCTATAACACTAATGGAAACCGTCATTTGATGAGCGCTAAACCTCTCGGCAACAAAGTCCGAATTTTTCGAACATCAGATCATTTACTTAAATAAATTATATCTTTCAAAATAATGTATTTAACAGAAAAAAAAATATATATATATATATTAAAGACATTTTTATATTCAACATTTTTTTTATAGATACAAGTATTTAAGTAAATGCTCTGTTTATAATAAACAGTATTAAATAACATTTACCGGCCTGGATGTCCGAGAAATTTTCATAGAAAAGAACGTTAAACATAAAAAAATGTCTTTAATAAATAAATTGTCGGTCTTTGTCCATTTCTTAATATATATATATATATATACTAGATTTCACCTAAACGGATCTTCAGGGTACTGCCTGCCTTTAGATCCGTTTAGGTGAAACCTAGGTAGGTCTGCCTTGCTCCTCAGGATTATCTTATCTTAGATTTGCTCTACTTAGTGTATTGAGCACTTTACGTAGTTGTCTTTTTACTCGTTTTGGGGTTTATTTTGGGGGGGGGACTTGGAGCTTAAACACTGGACGATTGTTTTCGCTTTGTTTTAATGTTCTTGGTTCTTTCTTTTTTTTATTCCCATTTTTCCTCGGGTACCGATTTGTTCTACCGCAAGTTGAGCTATCTGAGGTTTTTTCCAAACGAGTACCACCATTTTATATATATATATATATATATATATATATATATATATATATATATTACTTGGTAGCAAAGTCAACTACAGTGGAACTTTAGATGATGAAATCATGCATCGGATTGCTAAGGCTACCAGTGCTTTCGGAAAACTTCGCCATCGCTTGTTGGATGAGCTGGGTATTCGTCTGGATACGAAAATTCGGGTTTACAGAGCTGTTGTACTTGCCATCCTTTTGTATGGCCCAGAGTCGTGGACTCCATACAGGTACCATATACGCCAGATAGATGTTTTCCATAAAATCTGTCTGCGTGCAATCTGTGGAGTTAAGCTTCAAGGTAGGACATCTAACGTAGACCTGTTTAACATGTGTAATATTGGAGGAATCGAGACTCTTATCATACAGTCTCAGTTACGGTGGACTGGTCATGTCTTGAGAATGTCTGATGACAGGATACCCAAGATCCTAATGTACAGCCAGTTAGATCAGGGCTACAGAAATGTAGGACGCCCATGGCTAAGATACAAAGACAAGCTGAAAAGCAACTTGTCATCAGTCAATATACCACATAACACCCCTGAGCGCTTAGCCTTGGAGCAGGTAGAATGGAGATCAACATGTTTTAGTGGACTCAGCAATTTTCAATCTGCTTGTCTGAATCATCTTCAAGAAGCGAGGTCAAGATCTAAAAGGTCAGCCAATCTAACAGTGATGTCATCTCACAATCCTCACACTTGCTCCATATGTGGCCTCCTTTTTAAATCACTAGCGGCTTTTAAATGCCACTTAAGATTATCGCACAAACTTTCATAACTGAATCAATAAGCTGTCAGATCTTCATACGTCGAAACCGACGGGAGTGTCCATTATTATATATATATATATATATACCTAAATATGTGCGTAATCCATATAAACACACCCATATACAGGGTGCAGTGTGTAAATTGTCATTTTATATGCGTGTTGTTTGTTTTTGATTTTATCGACTGCACAGTATCGTAAGGTCAGTCATGTACCGTCTGTGAGAAAAAGTCGACCATGACGCAATTTACTCTACCAAAAATTTGGAAACGGCGTGTTTGTGTGTCAATCTTAGGACAGTGGAGAAAATTCGGAAAGAGTTGGATGATATATTCAGTCAACATCATAGTGTTCGGAGTGATCACGAGTGATGGCAATGTTATGCCTCCATTCATCTTCCCACAGGGCCTCATATTCAACACGGAGGCCTACATGAAGTGCCTTGAGGGTGCATTGCTGAAGAAGGTGCCTGCTGGAAGACCCTATGTCTGGCAACACGACTCTGCATCATGCCATACAAGCAGGAGTAACCACTCATGGCTGTCAGACAATTTCTGCGACCACATCATCCCCTTACATCTGGCCACCTAACTCTCCAGACCGCAACCCCATGCTTATTATGTGTGAGGTGCAGTTAAGCGAGAGACCAAAAAAACTCCTTGTAACACTAAAGATGTATTGAAGGCAAGTATTATGGTAGCATTCACCAACAAGGAGACCGTCCAGAAGAGTTGTAGGAGTTTCCGAAGTCGTCTGGAGGCCGTGGTTCAATCCAATGGCGATTTTATTAAATAAATTTACTCTTTAGTATTTCAAGATATTTTTGTGTAATTTTGCTAAATATATCTGTTAAAATGAGATGTGCTAGTTTAATTTTTTTTTTTTTTTTTTTTTTGCGTAATTTAGACGACAATTTATCCATCGCACCATATATATATATATATATATATATATATATATATATATATATATATATACTTTTTATTTTAGGATATTACATCAAAGCATGTAAAAACGCTACACAAATATATATTGCTCTACTTTTGGATTGAGCCCTCTTTCAAATTGAATGTTACGAACGTCGGAATTGGACCCTATTCGTTCTCATTTTACACACACACACACACACACACACACACACACACACACACACACACACACACACACACACATATATATATATATATATATATATATATATATATATATATCATATATATAATATTCATGCCAACAGATAGATAATATGACGAATTGGAAAAATGTTTTTGAGACGCGTTTCATCCATCATTGCCAAATCCTTCGGTTGATAGAGTAAATTCCTCCTTTAAGTTTTGGCTTGTTGTTTTGCTTAATTAAGTCTTTGATTGTTTTAGATGTAGTTGTGATAAATTATATGTTCAGTTTAGATAAATTCTTTTCCGGGTGTAGTTGCGAGAGAGTTAGTGAGTAGAATAATATATTTTTTGATTCGTTGGGTTTGCGTGGGCGTGGCTGCCTATACCACAAATGATGGGGCGCATAGCGATACTAGTTCTGTGGGTTTTAGGAAGACCATAAAGTCTTGGCGCTCTAGGTTGATATTCGATGGGTCTATACCACGATTTGTTTTCATTTTTAATCAGTTGCCTGATTTCTTGTTGAATCTTTGTAAAGGGTGTTTCATTAAGACGGATTTTATATAAGGGTGTTTCATTAAGACGGATCAAAGTCAGCATTAAATAAATCCGTGTTATTGGTGAAAATTTATTTATTTCTCTATTGGATCATGTTATTTACGTCAAGTGTGAAAAATAATATCGCCCAGATATCCGCCAAATATGAAACAAAAAGAAAAAAATCATTAGTTAATTCACATTTAAATTCGGCTTAATTTATTGAAATACCGTTTATTTCAGTAGTTATTTTTTGTTCGTTTATTTTCTTTCGTATGTGTCGATAGTAGAGAGTTAATTTTTTCTATGTATGTAATCTTGTTTATGATTACAATGCCTTCTCCCTTGTCAGAGGGAGTAATGTGGATTTCTTTATTTCTCGATAGGTTCTTTAGTGCATTTACATATGTCGGTGGTAATGTATTTTCATTGTTAGTTTCTATAGTAGCAGTGATTATGCCTTGAATAAAACCTTTGGTAAACTCGGAATCGTTATGCTTTTGATTTTTTTTTCTATTATAATCTTACTTATTATAAAACGCAGATTGTGTGTGTGTGTGTGTGTGTGTGTGTGTGTGTGTGTGTGTGTGTGTGTGTGTGTGTGTGTGTGTACGTTTATATATTGGATCGGATTTCCTACATTTTTCAACCGATTTCAACAAAACTTCACAGGACTACGTAAAATTAGCTTGCGGTAGTTCTGACAGCGCCAAAAATTAGAAAAACATAATTGTTTTTGCACGAAATCAATTTGAAAACACGATAAAACACGATTCTGTCGCCAGAATGAAAAGGGGACATATCGAGTTACACTTATTATAAAACCCAGGTTGGTTGTGTGTGTGTGTGTGTGTGTGTGTGTGTGTGTGTGTGTGTGTGTGTGTGTGTGTGTGTTCATTTATATATGGGATCGAATTTCCTACATTTTTCAACCGATTTTAACAAAACTTCACTTTTTTTTAGCAGGTAGTGTTTCTTATTGTCTTGCACACTTTTTACTTTATTTTTACATTCAGAATGCTTTAAAAATTCCATTTACAAGACAATTATTTATAATAAAATTCTGTTCAATCGGTAGACTCATAACGATTGAAAACAATGTTTTTGTTTGAGTTTGGGTTTGACCAATTCGTAAAAAAAAAAAAACTAATTAAGACATGCGTGTCCGTCAACCTTAAACAATAATCTTTGTCAATTTTATTTTTCAGTCTTTATGATGGTTGATACTTGATCTATCTCTTACTGTTACATCCCCGGGCAACGCCGGGCTCTACTGCTAGTGTCTACTATGTCTCCTTTGGGGATTTCATTGGCAAATTTTAAACCGAAGCCGACGAAGCTGTATTGGAAAGCGATATATTTTCTATTAGGAAAGGCTTTCCGATCTATTTCTACTTGCTGTTGCTACATAGGTTGGTGAGTTTTTGTCTCAGTTCTGTCACTCCCACTGTCTAACAAAGGTAATTTTTCATGATTTATATTTTATATATATATATATAGATCCTCCGACTGGTGCCAATCCAGCCGGGTTTCGATCCTAGCTAGAAGCAACCGGACGTATCACCACACCGATGAGCTGTGATACAGCGAAACAGTCTGTATGTGGATGACAGTATATATGCTCCTGAAAAATCATTTCGGTTGTGCTCTCTGGCGAAGAAGTGTGAGTTTGTAAACAGTGTCTATTACTGCTACTAATGCAATACTCTTCGATAAAAAGTATCGAGTTCTCTCTAGTCACTGGCATGTTTATCTAAAAATAAATACGCTTAAATTCACCTCATCCCTGTCGTGCGCCAACGGCATGAGGTTAAATCCTCCGACTGTCTCCAATTAAGCGGGGTTTCTATCCTAGCTAGAGGCAACCGGACGTCTAGCCACACTGATGAGCTGTGATACAACGAAAAAGTCTGTCTGTGGATGATATATATATATATATATATATATATATTATCATTGAAACGTTATTTTAACGAATTTGCGTTTATTTCCGTTTATTTACTAAAGAGTGTGTTTATTTATTGTCATGTACTGCTCAGAATGTTTGAGAAATCTTATTAAAGAAATTTTTAGACTCTCTGACAGGATTCGAATCCGCGTCCCTCTGGGCAGGGGAAACTACCGTTAGATCCGGTACACCCTGAGCAACTGAGCTACAAAGAATCAAATGGTAAGTCCGATATTGTACCTTCAAGTTAAAATTCTCTAGTCATAACTCTCCCGAAATTCTCATATCTACAGTTTCGTATCCAAATGTAAACAAAGCAAATTTTCTAAAGAAAAGTAATGGATTTATTTATCTATAATATTATTCTTTCATTACTGTAATTATGAGTTTAGGTAATCTAATATCTTTATATATTGTGGCTATTTTTTATGAATAAAAATTTTCTCTATTATTGTATTGGCGTGTTTCTTCTACAATTTGCACCAAATTTATTAAAATTTTTATTTCAATGAATAAATAAAGGGTGTTCCAATAACTTGGACATATTTTAATGTGAATTAAGTTTAAGCGTCTCATGATTTTTTTCTTTTTCTTTCAGATTTAACGACTTAAGTCTTTGACAAATTCAACCATGGAAAGATTAACAAACAACGTGTTAAAGTTATCGAAGCCTATTATGAAAATGAACGTTCAAACAGAAATTGAATGAGCAGTTCCCAGGTCGCATCATCTCTCGAAACAGCGAAGTCAATTGTCCACCACGATCATGCGACTTGACGCCTTTAGATTTCTTCTTTTGGGGTCATCTCAAAAGTAAGGTCTATGCCAACAAGCCAACAACAATTCAACAGCTGAAAGATGAGATAATAAGGCATATTGGTGAGATCGAGGAGCAACTATGCACAGACGTCATCAAAAATATTGACCATCGAATGGAGGTGTGCCGCCTTGGCGGACATTTGGGCGATATTATTTTTCACACATAATTGCCATGACTTGAATAACATAATCCAATAGAGGAATAAATTTTCACCAATAACACTGATTTATTTACTGCTGACTTTAATCCGTCTTAATGAAACATCCTTTATATCTTCAGTTCAAGTTTTTTTTTTAAGTTGTTATTCAAGTTTATCTTAAGTTTGCAGATTGTTATGTTATTTTTTTTTTCAGCAGTACCACAAAATTTTAACACTATAAACATTAGTGTATTTGGGTGTGTAAGCACCCCAGAGGATTATCCATTTTCGGAAATCCGATGTGACTAACGCAGAGTTAAAAGATCTGACCATTCCTGATCAGCCTGAAGAAAAAATAAACACACAATGAATCAAAATAATGTTAAAGTATCAGATGATTGCAAAAGTTTCTGCCCAATTTTCCTTGTTGATATAAAATGACCACAACGCGTTTATTTTGATGCCGATGTCTGGTGTGTTGTACATTGAAACCTTGTATCGTTTAGTTACGAGTCCGACTTTGTTAAATTTTGAAGTTTTATCCCCATATGAATGTCTTAAAGATGGCGGATGAAAAGTTGCACTTTCGCCATATTGTGCTCTATGAATTTCAGGAAGCAGGAAGCATTGGAACTGTGACAAAAAACATTCAGAAGTCTTATTTGGATCGTGCTTCAGCTTATCAGATGGTCAAAAAACGGTTTGGCAGATTTCGTCAGGGTGATTTTAACCTAAACGATCAACCACGCCCCCCCCCTCTGCGACCTTGCGTCATTGGTGAAAACTCCCTGTGTGGAATTGTGGAGAATAAACCGAAAATTGCGACGGTAGACATAGTTAAGCGTTTGAAAATCGATATCTCAACTGCATCTTGTCATTTAAAGAACCTTGGCAAATCGAAAAGATGCAATTTTCCACCACAACAACTCCAGACCACATGTTGCAAAACAAAGCCTGCAGAATCTTAAAGAGTTGAAATAAGAATCCCTCCAGTACTTATCGTATTTTACTGACTTGGTTCCTTCGGATTTTCATTTGTTTCGATCTCTACAGAACAATTTAAATGACAAAAAATTGGCTCTGTACAGTCGGACGAAAACTACCTCACAACCTTCTTCCAACAAAAAACGCGAAAATGGCATCAACAAACTTGTAGAACAATGGGGACAGTTGTTAAAATCAATGGAGACTATGTACTTGACAAATAATTTTTTTTTTTCAGTATATAAAATTTTGTTTTTAATATTTTAATCGGGCTAAAATATTTTCAATGACCTGATATTAAAACGAAACCTTTCACATAAGTGTTAGTTTTGACGTCTTCTTAAATATTCATCAACAAATCATAAGTGTACGTTACACGCCATTATGTGTTTTATCGCGGGAAGTCGGGTATTTATTTCATACTTTCCTTCAATAGGCACAAATCTGAGCTTTGCGAATTTAAATTTTGAATTTTCCAGTTCGTGCGTGGCAACAGCTCCACGTTTAATTTGAACCTTCGTCTTCCTACACACCACTCCCCTTCACTTACCACTGAGACAGTCTCGTTTATACCCGTTGTTTCTCGTTTTATTTTTAATCCAATGGCTTCCCAAATCAATGAAGGTATCATTTTAATCAGCAGCTGAAATACCAGCTTCTGTTATCAGAAGTAAAATGACGTCATGACCTAAAATGGTGGATATCGTCTGTTGGCGTCATTTCAAAGACACAGGTATCGTGTGCGCGAATCTAAATACCACTTTCTCTTTTCAGTTTTAGCTTGATTCTTTAAAGCTTTTGTTAAATCTATTTTAATGATCAATAGTTGGATCATACAACGTTATAATACCAGTTCTTTCGACAATATTTCGAGGGAGGAAAAAATAACAAATAAAAGCTCACAGGAAACGTGCTCAAAAGCATTTGAATAATTGCAAAATATGTGGCGAGAGGTCAATTTTAGAACTAAACCATATACTCTCATGACTAATTCTGCGTCCCGCCATGCGTATGACGTAATTTGAATGAACGCCAGTTTGGAGGTGATTTTGTAGGAGATATACTTTTATAGTTTCCACTTCATTTGGCTGTGTATTTAAATATCTCACAACTGGTTTGGTTTAGCTACGTGTACACGCGCCAAAACATATAGTTCTTTGCCGTTACTTTAGTGCGTCAGAAGACCAAAGTGAAAAGTTCACCTGACAGTTAACAGCACGGAAAATTAATTCCGCCAGCCATGTTCAAACTCCGGCTCAGCTAGTAATTTTACCATATTTTTATTTTTTATTTTTAATAAAATGTAAGTCTATAAAGATGTACTTCGACTTGGTGTAATGGTCAGCGTGCTGGCCTCGCTAGATCAGTTACGAAATGAACAGTGGGTTCGATCATCACTGGTCACCCCATAATCTCGGCCTTGTGCCACATCTAAGCTACGCTTAGTAAATCACTATACGAACCATGATTGTTTCTATAAACAAACTAGGTTCTAAGGCCTGTGCTAGCCATATCATGTTGAAACAGCGGTTCTCGTACGATCACCAAAGTTAAGCAACATCGATCCAGGTCAGTACCTAGATGGGTGACCACTTGGGAATACCGCGTACTGTAAGTTTGGATGTGCGGAGGTGCTCAAAACCGGAGAACCGAGTTCAAATTCCAGTCAGGTTGTTATATTCACTTACTGTGACTTTTACGGGTTCACTAGCATCTTTCTATGCATATGTAAAAGGCAGTTGTCTGAATATATGTGTGTGGTGGGGTCTCCGGCTAAAACTAAAAAATCACAATAATTTACGATAAAATAAATATATATATATATACAGACTCAGTATCCCCCCAACCCACCTTTTTGCATGATTTGTATTTACAAAGATATTTTAAAAATTAAAAATACGTAATAATTGCTTTAGAAGGCATTTTTCGCGATGTAAGCATTTCGAAATTCTCAGAATTAAAAAATAAAAACGAAATGGAATAATGATTATTCCCGTTCGTTTTTACTTTTAATTCTGTTGATAATTTCGAAACGCTATATGTATTTTTTAAATTTTCTTTTCTCATAAAAGCGTAACTTCAAAAAGGACATATGGCGCAGTGGACATAGGCGTTAGTTAGATCCAGTGACAGGACCCAAAGAGTGTAAGTTCAATACCTGGTTAAGGTGGTGGAGAACATTGAGAGGGGAATTAACAGGAGATAACTGACATCCATTAGACATGGCACGTAGAACTAGAACAGTCTATCCCAGTGAGCGAAATAAAGGGTTCAGTTCGACATTCCAACCACCTGAAGAAGGCCGGAGTGTACAACGGCCGAAACGTTGTGATAAACATGGCGACAAAAATGAGGACAATAGTCCGAATAATGTAAATAGTGTACATAATACCTCATCGCAAAATATAGAAAGATACTGAAGGTCCGAAACGTTGCAATAAATATGGCGACAAAGATGAAGACAATAGTCCGAATAATGTAAATACTGTACATCTCAAAAATATAGAAAGGTTTAAATTAGTCACCGTTTTTGACCACTTCCTCTTAGCCCGAAATTGGCACAATAAAGTACAAGCTTAGACTCGCTGTTCGTATTATTTTTATCCGGTAAAATCTGTACCTCTACGAGAACATCGCCGGTACTTAACCTTTTAAAAGCTCTTCTCTCTGTCTTGGTATCATTTAATATCATATTTACCTAATATCATATCACTATTTCAACATTTGCTTAAGGTAGCCACCTTTGTACACAGTTATTTTACCATTGTATCTCTCCACACCAGTTTACATCCATTACACCACCCGCACATCCAAGCTCCCAGTACCTGATATTTCTTAGTGTTCACACATCGAGGCTCTAAGCTCGACCTTGCTTAAATTCGGTGATTAGACTAGAACCAGTTTCAACGTAATATGGCTGTAAGCCTGTCAGATTTCTGTTTTCTAATATCAGTCCTCTTGTAATATATCAATCCTCTTATGTGTGTGTGTGTGTGTGTGTGTGTGTGTGTGTGTGTGTGTGTGTGTGTGTGTGTGTGTGTGTAAAATCAGCAGATAAGGAAGAAAAATATACATAGGAGTAACTGGAAGGCCCTGGAAACAAATAAACTACGCACACAAAACATCCTTCACAAATATTAAATACGGGAACAGCACAATTCTTTCTAAGCATATCTGGGAAATTAAAAACACAAAACACACAAATCACACAAAAATCATGGAAAATAAGGAAAACAGCATCACCCTACAACAATAAATCTCCAAACTGTAAACTCTGTCTGGAGGAGAAAATAGCTACATTTACTTTTCCAGACCAACACAAACTACTAAATAAACGATCAGAACTATATAGAATAAATAAAGCAATGTAATAAATTAATCCAAATCGATAAATAAATAAATAAATAAAGTAAGTAATAAACAAATTGACAAACTAAGAAAGCACTCATAAACACAATAGACGTAGACAATCAACAGCAATCCGTAATAAAGTTAACAAACAACACCATCAAATAGCCACAGAACGGCATTATTTCCACCCAATAGCCCCTTAGAATTATTCAAAACTTAACCGTTACCGCTCACCCAATAAACGTTAGAATAATCCAATAGACCTACCCATAATGCATCACTGACCAGCATATAGAAATGGTCGAGCAAAAACACAGCGCACATGGCCTGACAATTGCGTTTAACATGAAACAGACTGTTGCCTGTGGGTGTTGACTTCAATGTTCACTTTCATATATATATATATATATATATATATATATATATAAACATTAGGAAGCATATAATTTATATACAAAGAAATAATCACGCATAGAATCAATTTTTTAAAATTATTCGAAAGTACTTGCATTTTAAAAAAATATAAACTGGAAACAACAGACAACAGTTTTATAAATGAGGATCACGTCACTCTATGGATTAACAGTATTTTAATGCATACATTATACACTACTAGCGATGGATGTCACCAATAATAGCATTAATATTGCTGATTGATTCTATGTGTGATTATTTCTTTTGTATATATATATATATATATATATATATATATATATATATATATATATATATATATATATGTCACTTTTATATACATATAAACGTGATCAGGCACATTTGTGTTTGTCCATTACCCACAGAGCCCACCTGTGGTTTATACTGCAAATATGCTGAGCTGACTTTAGTTACAGTTTCTGGGAGAGAGCGTGTTATCCAGCGTGATCACCAATTTGAACACGGCCATCACGCTCAAGTCCTCAGCCATGATGACTTGTGGCTTTGTGGGACAGCTATCGACGGCCCTCAACAAAAGTTCCGTCTGCCCAATTTCACTCACAGGTCTTGGGTCAACCCGTGGTATGGTTTTTAGGCACTTCCCAAAGGTGCCGCATGCTGGGATCGACCTCGATCCAGTCCGATAACATCAGGAAGTCACCTTCCTGACAGATCGACCATGGTGAGATTCGAATAAGGGTTTTATGGTCAGAAAGCGAACGTGTGTGTGTAAGATAGATTTAGGCAGCAAATGTTCGTTCAAATAATTTTGATTAAAAGGAACGGACAAAATCTATTTAATTTTGTATTGCATTTTTCCAATTTCCTGATAAGGTGTTGAGTATTGTACTTGAAGTTGTGGATAAACTGTCCAAAGTTCGTGTGTGTGTGTGTGTGTGGAATAAAATGAAATAATAATACTAGTTATTAACATACGTACAATTAATATAAGTTAACGCATATCAAGGTGAACAGAGAACAATAATTATTGAATCGGATATAATAAATTTCAATATTTATCGATGTCGACCCTGAGTTTCGTAATTTTCTCAATCATCATCGCTCATTGACTTTCGATAACAATGACTATATTGATTACAGAAAATCTTTTTTTTTATTATTTTATGACCGCCTGATATATATCATTTTATTACTTCACAAAATAATGCAATAGACTCTCTGTAATCGATACATTCATTGCTATCGAAAGTTCTGACGTATGATGACTGAGAAAATGACGAAACAAAGAATCGACATCGATAAGTATTGAACGTTATTACATCCGATTCACAATATGTTGAGTGTGTTTCAGAACCGATTTTTCATTTATGCCCGTTTGGTTAAAAACCAGCTAAAGTTCCATGTTGATCCAGAATTTATTTTATTTTTACTTCAATATTTCTAATATTTTTCTGATTTTCGGTTCGTACTTGTAAATATATCTTCCTATGTCATTTTAAAACAAGAAAACTGGTTAGAATTAGCCGAAACTGCTTATACATGAAAATATATATTCACAAATCAGCCATGCGTGATACACGCTTAGGCGATCATGTATCTTTCGATAGATGACTGACGAGGCAGATTTTTTCCCGCAGTAGGTTGCCATTTCTTTCTGCGGTAGACCAGTTGCCATCTAAGGATATAGAACCAGGTCAGTTCTGCTATTTACCCATAGCTGGGGGGAGAAGAATAGGATTCATACGTTTCCCAAGTGCATTAGTACGTAAGTGAATGTAATGGATTCGACTAGGATTCGAGCTCGGCTCTCCGGTTCCTTAATACGAGCCGCTATCCATGGTTCCACTGTGCTTCCTCAAATACGAACCGGTAATCAGAAACATTATTAAAAATATTGAAAAAGTAAATAAAAATAATGAACAAAAATCTTCATTGCTTTTTAATTATGTTTAGAATGATGTTTCTGGTTCTTTCTAAAGTATTTTCATTCTCTTTCACTCCCAGTAGCCCATTGCGTCTTAGTAGCGTTATCTCCTTGCTAGGGACGGGGTGAAATGATTTTTAAAAAACGTGCATATATATATATATATATATATATATATATATATATATATATATATAGTTGGATTGATGTAAATTTGTGACCCTGGGTTTCATGCTCTTTGCAATCGTCAGACAAAATGATTCATTTTTAAATTTTGGATTTATTTATGGTTGCGTATACACAAGCACACATTAATCCAACTAAATATATTAGCTCTATCACTGTTGAGCGCTTTCCAATAAGTACCGCGCATATATAATATATAAATGATATATATATATAAATATATATATATATATATATATATATATATATATATATATATATACTCATTTTTACACACACACACACACACACACATATATATATATATATATATATATATATATATATATAAATATATGAAAACTATTATGGGATATTGAAATGTATTCCGAATGCTTTATTAAAACCTCTATCTATAAAAGGCAGGATGTGTGTGTGTGTGTGTGTGTGTGTGTGTGTGTGTGTGTGTGTGTGTGTGTGTGTGTGTGTGTGCACGTGTCTGTGTGTGTGTGAACGGCCGCAATTTTCGATGGATTTGCACCAAAATTTACATGCACGTGCTCCAAGTTAGCGGGAAGGCCAAGACCGACTGAGCCTTTCCCAACTCCCATCGATAGTGGAAATAATCGATTTTTTCATGCTTCTACGGCAGTTTTCATGTAGTTTGCGGCCATTTTCTACTGGCCAGAGTGAGAGCCTATAGCTGGCTGCCACGAATAGGCAGGAAGATTCTATTGGCCAGCGTGAGAGCCAACAGCTGACTGACACATATGTTAACT